CGGAAACCCCGACAGTAATTTAGAATCACTCTGCGATTACACAGGAATTATCTTTCGTAAAGTTGCATACGGAACGTATTTTCATTAGTAGAATAGGACTTCAATCGGTAGGTCAATCCGGACATACTTCTCACTCGGGTTCTATAAACATCAAAATATATATTTTTCTTTTCGGATAGAAGTTCTGCTTCTGTCTTCAGGCAAGTTGGCAGATCTGATTTCATGGTTCCTTTGGGTTACGTCAGGGTGAAATAACGGACTGTGTTGTGACTTAAGATATTGGTAGGTTAAGTGAGTTACGTTTGCCGAGCGGCAGCTTAATAATTTTGTGATGAGGATAGTCAATTGACTATCTGAGCGTGTGTCCCAATCACAAAGAGCGACTACTCGCTACAGAATATACGTAGGGAGGTAAAATATTATACGCACTCCTGTTTTTCCAATTTATATACACAAAAGTAGGGGCTGAACAAGTACGTCATTATTCTACGTAGTCTCCGCCCTTTCCGATGCACTTGGTCCAGCGGTCCACAAGCTTGCGTATTCCCTCCAAGAAGAAAGTTTTCGGTTGGTCGTGCAACCATTTATGCACCGCTTCTTTGTCCATAGAAAATCGACCTCGTAAATCATCTTTGAGCTGTCCAAAGAGATGATAGTCGGAAGGGGCGAGATCTGGGCTGTAGGCAGGTTGTTCCAGCACCTCGAAACCCAAATGGTTAATGGTTTCAACGGTCTGTCCGTCCTTGTGTGAGCCTTCATTGTCATGCAACAACACTTCCTTCGGAAATAGGCCTCGGCGTTTGGTACTAATTGTTGGCCAACAAATCACTGCATCTTGCACTGTTGATCATACACCCTTTTTCCAGGTAGACTTCCAGTATAGGCCCTTTTGAGTCCCAAAAACGGTTAGCATCACCTTTCCCGCGGAAGACTGAGTCTTGAATTTCTTGTCCGGCCACTTTTAAACTTCTCGATCCACTCATACACACTTCTACGCGGTAGAGCACTGTCCCCGTATTGTGTTGAAAGCCTCCGATGAATTTCAGCCCCTGACACACCTTCCAACCAGAGAAATCGGATCACTGTTCTTTGTTCCTCCTTGGTGCACACTGGTAACGGAGCGGCCATGTTTGCACTGTCACAGCATCAAGGAAATGACGTGATCAAGGTCAAACTTCGATCACGTGACCACAGTAGTGCCAACTCTAAGCATGCATGCATGCATGCACAGAAAGCAGTGTGACAAACCTAAAGATGTGTTATGGCGAAAGTGTGGATAATTTCTGACTTTCCCTCGTAGAGTATTTATTAAATTGTGTATGTATTGATACATAGTTAGCAGACATGACTCTGGCCAGTAGCCTCTTAGCAACAACCAGACACAATGCGTCAGTGAACTCCAATCATTCTTATCTACTGTTAAAGCCCACTTTCCCGGTACCATGAATGCTAACAGAATAATAAGTTACACCGAAGTTAGGGACATGAAAGTTATTAGTTACCTCCAGATCCTGAAACACTTCAGAACCACAACGAATCATGAAATGACAGGGGTAAATATTATACTTTTAAGTGGAGGCAGGTTACTGAGTTACCAAAGGGCATGACCCAAGACTTCAGATCATGAAACTACAGAATGGGTCCAGTCCTACGTAACAAAGTGCACTTTGTTTAATTCTGCGATAGCTCAGTCGATATGGCTGCTAGGCAATAACCTGGATATATAAGCCGCCGTTTGTTTGCCTGTAGGGGCGAGAAAATGGATCTTAGAGAGAAAAAATTGGATGATATTGATTGGATTGATCTGACTCAGGATAGGGCCCAGTGAAGGGCTCTTATGGACACGGTAATGAACCTTCGTGTTCCATAAAATCCTGAGAAGTTCTTGACTGGATGCACAATTGGCGGCTTCTCAAGAAGTGCTCAGTTCCATGAGTGAGTGAGTGAGTGAGGTGTTGTTCGAATGTCGCCCGGAACACCAGGTATCCGATCTGATGTTTTCCGCGGCTTCACTGAGTCCTTCCAGGCATATACTAAAACAGAACCTAAATTAAGCAACAATTTTTTCCTTCCAAATCCTTTACAGTTCATTATTCGTCAGTAATTTCATCATCTGACTGTGTAGTCCCAATGCTGAAAGCACAGGTTAAATGGCCTGGGGAAGAGAAAACTCTAAATTACGGGACTCAGTTTTCTATTGTAATTTATGATTGTCTTGCAAGACATTGTTTGTCTTTAAAATTACTCAGCAATTTATTTGCAAATTAGTAAGCAATTTTTCGAATTATCCGTCACGTGTGGAACCTGGATACTCATTCAAAATGAGAAGAATGCGGTCTTCTGGGATGTGGCGCCGTGTAGATCTAGTGTAAATCGACGTTTCGTAGGAACGTATTGCCTCCATCTTTAAGGTAGAAAAATCGCTAGCGAGGAAACACTCTGAGCAGCTGGGTGTTTTCGACTGCTGATTCAGTCTGCAGCCACCTGCTCACGCTGGTTCCTCGCTCTTCAACTTTTCTACCATGAAGATGGAGGCGATACGTTACTCCGAGACGTCCATTTACACTAGATCTACACGGCGCCACGTCCCAGAAGACGGCATTCTTCATAGTAACCGCCGTGAAACCCTAAAATCTTACATAGTTCAAAGTAATCCCCTAACCAGAAGACGGCGAGACAAATGGTGGTACTACTGTTCATTTGGGAACACGAATTTCACTGAACAACTATAGACATTGCTCTAAAGTCATGCCGATGTTTTCAACTTTGTCAGTACACGCGGACGCCTCCGATGATGACGCAATGATCTCCGTCATTGATGCTAGTTAGTTACTTATTGGAGAGGGTGGGTTTCCCCATGCACTTAGACCAGTATTGGTCCATTGTGCTTCCCTCTATGATATTCTACCAGTCTCTATATCCTACCGATATTGGTGCGTAGCATCAGTCCCGACCGAGCCAGCGAGTTCGGCCTCCACTAGCTTGGTGGTATCTATAATGCTTCCCCCCTCTATCAGAGGTGTTAGAGACTACTTGTTGGGCGGGAAACATCCTTGAATTTGGCTGATTGACCTCCTTTGGAGATATGAGGTTCTTTTACGTGGCGTAAAGCTACGACACGGGACCCACGGCTTAAAGTCCCTCCCGGAGGATCTGTTCCCTGAATTTTTCCGCCCTTAAAAATTCGACGACCTCCCCCGGGTTTGAACCCGCGTACCACTAGTCATGAGGTGGGAACGTTACCTCTAGACTACGGAGGCCGCTGTCATTGATGCTAACTTACATTTCATTTTGTTATAGAAATCCATAGATTCAATTTTATGTTTATTATTCTTAGTGGGGTGAGACTGAGTCCAGTTGGTGCTGCGGGCTCTATTGGCCTATTGTACCAGCCCTAGACGATAGATGATGGTGAAGGAACCGGTGGAATGAAGAGTGGCAGTACTCGGATAAAATCTGCCCCAGCGCTACTTTGTCCACCACAAATCCCAGAGAACGTAACCCAGGCTCGAACCCTGGCCGCTGCGGTGGGAAGCAAGCGACTAACCGCCTAAGCCATGACAAGGCCTTTTCTAATAATAGCGTTGACTGTATTGTGTGTATTTGTGAGAGAAGTTATTTCTGGTTGACGTCACATGTTTTGTGCTATTCCTGGAAACCGACAATATCTAGGGCCATTAAACATGTCACGGGCATCCAAGGTTCTGGCAGGGTTGGAGTCAATGCTCGGCTTACTGATGAAATACGTCACTAACACAAACGAAGAGAAATGAGTGTGCATGGAACTGCCATTACGCACTTAATATTTTGCGTTACGTACGTAGTAATTATGTTGGACACCTTCCACCGTCTTAGATATATTTATAATATACGACGTTACGGAAACTGAATTAGCTTACTTCATCAGGTATAAAAGCTAAGAGGATCATACACGGTCTGGCCTTTTGGAAAGAGACAGTCTCACTCAAAAAATGAAATGTATCTAAGGTGATGGACAGTGTCCAATATAATTTTTCGACTAAAAAATGTATCTTTGTCACCCATACTTTTGCCTAATAATGTTATTGTAATTAAATCAAGAAAGATGCTTTTGAACATGAATTGTATTCATATTTAGGTTCAGAAAACGTGAACAGAGAAACAATTTGAAATATTGATACGTGTCTTTGTTTGTTCGTTATTTATTTATGGTTCATTTAACGACACTGTCAGAAGCTACAAGGCAACGATGGAAGGGATANCAGGAATAACTTTATCTTGTATTAGCACCTATAATATATATATATATATATATTATAGGTGCTAATACAAGATAAAGTTATTCCTGTGCTTAATTAATGAATAAGCATGCCAAAAAGGCATATGAGGATTGGAGCTCTAGCCTCACCATTCTTCACCTCGGCACTAGACGGAGCTGAGTGCTCAGCTTTTGCCCTATCCGGTCTATCCCGGAGGAAAAGGCTCCTGTATGGTAGCGTATTTGGCTCAGGCACTATGCTACAAGCCGTAAGGTCGCGGGTTCGATTCCGATGAGGTCATTGGAATTTTCAATGTACCTGATCATTCTAGCAGCAATATGGACTTCGGGTCGGCTCAGCGTCTAACAGAAATGAGTACCAGCGCATAAGGCTGATAAACTCACCGCCATCTCTGAACCGATTGTCTAGAAAATGTAGGAGGCTCAACTTCTCACAAGTCTGTGGGCTTCCAAACCCTGTTACCGTTTTTTTAGCCAGTGGATAAGAGGCTGGTTGTGCCACAGAGCCGGTCTGGATACTGGTGAAGAGAGAAATCTGTTTCCTCTGCCGTGAATCGAACTCTGGTCGTCCAGCCCGTTGCCCGTCGCTTTACTGACTGAGCCATCCCAACACTGAACTCCCCGAGAAAAATATCTGACCTAAAACAAACAGTTTAATTTTCGTAGATGTATCTTGGAAAGAGTCTGTGTGTTTTGTACCGTTTTAAGTGTTGCCCCTAATTCGTTGCTTCTGTTGTGACAGGGGTGCACTTTGACACCAGCAGCGGTTCTGTTGTGAACGAGATCACAACGGCCATCAAAGTGTATGCTTACGGCGTGGAAGACTTCGTCAACGATCCGAGCAATGCCAATCTATCGCTCAACACGCAGCTGTCGTGTGAAGGAATTGGAGACTCCCGCTGGAAAACCGGTGATCGCTTCTTCAGGTAATATAGACTATACTGTGTTTGTCGGGGTTGGATATCGACTTAGTCACCGGAGTCGCCCTTTGCTAAATTCCAGAACGCCCTTTTTAATGACGCTATGTCTATTGTCTAAAGACGCCTTCCCACTATCAAAACTTGACAAAGCCTAGCGCCGACTCTGATGGCTGTAGGATCGAATGCTTTGAAGAACACAAAGAAGGAAACAGGTACAGTCCGTGTCGTATAACAAAAACACGAAACTGCGTTATATTCGAAGTGAAATTAAGACCTGGATATTACCCGGTCCGGAGATAAGGCCTAGCTCTATTGACTGGGTCCAACTGAGAGGACTTATGACTCAGGACGGAGACATAAATCAGTCTCCGAAACATTGGTTTAAAAAAAAACGATAATGGGTAAGGTCGAAAGAGGAAATGATTATATTAAAGCGAAATTTCGTATAAACTTGACTTGGTTCATCCTGGTCCGTCACACTAGCAATAATATAAAATGTTATTAACACCGTCCAGTGAGACTGATAAATATTTTTTCCCTCATTTTTAATCTTTCATCCTTTACATGTTTTGGTCGGAGAGACCATCTTCTCTGGACTACGTGGACCCTACTGGGACTAGAACACCGACGCCACTGTCGTCCAGTCCGTAGCCAGTCGCTATACCGACTGAGCTATTCCGGCTCTAAAATGATATAAGTGAATCACAAAATTGTCCTCATTAAAAGGATCAGTTGAAAACAGGTAATATCACTAAACATTGCCATAATGGCATAATTGGAAGCATCTGAAGTTGTTTCGTATTCTACTGAAAAGTGTTGTTTGGTGACCACTAGGAAGATCAAGACATGGTGGGGTGGATAATATTAAAATGGATCTTAGAGAGAGAGAATGGGATGGTATGGATTGGATTGATCTCGCTCAGGATAGGGACCAGTGGATGGCTCTGGTGAACACGGTAATGAACTTAGGGTGCCATAAAAGCTAGGGAGTTCTTGAGTAGCTGTACAGTTGGCGGCTTCTCAAGAAAGGTTCAGCTCGATGAGTGAGTGGGTAAATTCTAAATCTCACGATGACTTCACTTCTATTTGCCAGGTTAACCTGAATCGCTTTATTACGTTAGATCTTGCTGATTTCTTGTGCCTGTGTGTGTGTGTGTGTTTTTTTTTAACTTTTTTGGTGTCTACATAGTTCTGAAAAGCCACTTCAACCCTGCTGTCATCGAGCTATGATATTGCAAAAACCACTCGAGAATTTATGTACGTCGTGTAATCATAACTAGACATTGCTCGTAATAGGACAGACGACACGAGTGTAGACGCTCTATATCACATTTGAGTCTCTGATAACAGCCACGATACCAGGTGCATTCAGAACATCACAGCACTGCTTTCACGGCTGTGTAACTTTTGAGTGTTATATGTTTAACTTAAATATGTATAACGCCGGTCACGGTAGCCGAGCGGTCTAAGCCATGTACTGTCCTCGCTCGCTCGGAAGCCGGGATCGTGGGTTCGAATCCCACACAAGGCATGGATGTTTGGTATGTGTACGCGTTTATTCTGTGTTTAGGTAGATGCCTTGCGACGAGCTGATCACTCGTCCAAGGAGTCCTACCGTGTGTAAAATGATAATGAAACTGAAAATCAGAGGCCAGGGCCCAAGGAGGCTGTACAGCCAGCGAAAATATATATAATGTAACAACCAGACATAATTTTGTACGTTCCGTTCAGAACAGCATAAAATGTTATTATAATGGAGAGGTCTATGCGCCTGCATGCATAGTTTCAGAAATTGCTGCAAAAACATCAGAGACCTATATTAAACGTTGTAGGGCGAGTTTAATGTTATCGCGTGTACTAGTGACTATAGATGGGGCTTGGATTTGTGATTGGATTCATTGGCCATTTACAGGCCTTCGCTAGAAATAACTATAACATTCTTGAAGAAAGCAGTCTTCTGGGATTTTGTGCAC